CTTTATGTTAAACAAAGTAAATCAGGGTCATTATCATCTTGCCTGAAAAAAGAGCAACAAATAAAAATTAACAATTTTTATCTTAAACCCAGTCAGGCCTCGGTGGCCTATTCCTAGCCAAAGTGCCGTTCAAATCCCCCTAGGGTGGGATGGGGGGGGGGGTTCATCATTCCCTTTTTATTTTTGCCCCCCTCTCCCACGGTTTAGGCAGGTACAAGGTTATGTAAATCATGATTGTTGTCTATAGAACAGTGGCTTATCAAAGAAGGAGCGACCAGGATTTTGGAGTGATTTTTTTAGCTTTGAAATTTTGTTCCTTACTTTGGATGCTGTGGGAGGAATAACAAGAATTTAATTGTCATTGTTTGGACTGGTCAGATGTACTTTCGTATAGTACTGTTATTATGTGTACAATGTGGTGCAAACTTTTAAGTCTGTGGCTGAAATCCTAAACAACCTATAAACCTAACTACAGTGTTGTATATTCAAATGAAAGCTCTTGAGCAGTACTTTCCTTTGGTACCCTTGATAGTTCCAAGAGTGATCAACACCAATTTTCTTCTAACATTAACAATACATACTCAAGAGAAAAGGTTATAAGAACTAAGAAATTGTTCACTAAAGGAAAATGCTCTGATCTTTAAGCAATTTCTCTCAATCAATTCCTTATAAGTAAATGTATGAAGACTGGCTTGGAGAATACAATTGGATATAAAGTGGCTTAGAGGGTAAAGGGGTTTTTGATTTTTGATTCCATGGATGCAAATGAATAGGTGTAGTAAGTAAGGATGTTAGAATGTTACAAGGCAATTAAAAAACGATAGCATTTAGGTTCTGAAATGATGATTATCTTTTTGTCAGATAATAAACAGGCAGTCATAGCAGTACTGGAGTCTAATTCAGAGCTCATTAAAGATGCACTCTCAGAGCTTGATGAAGTAAGTAATGCCTTTCTCTTTTTCATCTGGGAATGGTTGTTTTAACCTGTTAACAGTCCCCCTACCCCCCCGCCCCCACTTCCATGATAAAAGAAAATATTGGGAGGGAGGGTCAGGGGAGGAGTTATTGTTTTTTTTATTTGATTTTACCAGCTTTTCTAGACACAGGCCTGCCAAGAGGGAATGGGCACAAATGGGACTCAGGTCCCATGCGAGGTGCAACCCGCAAAGGTTGGCCACACCACCGAGGTGTACGTCCCCCACTCTTTTCAAACAGTGGCGTGGGTTCTTTTATGTGCCACAAGAACAGATCAGTGAAAGTGCTATGAGACGGGACCTACGGTTTTTCGTCCTTACCCTTGAAGACTAGAAAGTCTAACCGTTTGCAGATGCCATTACAAAGGCAGCACTTTCTTCTCAGTTATTTAGAGACCCTGACTGTTGGTTTGGTCAGGGTTTGAACCCATGACCTCCTGCTTGGCAGACCGGCACTCTCCCAACTGAGCTAACCAGGCGGTGGTTAAACCAAGTTGGCTGGCCACAGGCTAGTGTTCAAAGATTTATCAAATTTCGTTTATAGAGGCACAGTCTTCGGCTATGTGTATGATTTTGATTCCCAAGACTGTTACAGATGGTGCACTTGTGAACCAGTGCACTGGTGCACAAGAGCAGAGCTTCATATTCATAAGCCACAAGGGCGGATCCAGGATTTTTTTTTAAGGAGGGGGTGCACTCACCTCTTGCTCTACTTCAACACCAATAAACCACATAGTTTTTTTTTTTGGCAGAATACCAGTTGTATTAGAAAACCGTAGGTCATCTCAGGGGGGGGGGGGGGGGGGGGCGCCCCCCCCTCCCCCCCCCCCACATCACCACCCGCGCCACTTTCTGAGGATTTGAAGATAATTAAAAAAAATTTTTTTTATTGTTTTTTTAAATAACGGGCTCAGGTTACTAGAATTAGTTATGATGCTTGTTATTTTACTATTTTGCTTACT